GAAACCTACTCACCATGGATGATTCTGATGGTATTTAAAATACCCATGGCATAGCTTCAAGCATCACAGCAAAGTACAAGCCACCACAGTATGACAAACTGACAGATGAGTAATGGAGATATATAGACAGGTAGGTAGGTAGGTAGGTAGGTAGATAGGTAGATAGGTAGATGTGTTTAACCTTTTAGTCCACTATTGTTTAAATCTTCATTTGTAGGATAATCTAAGCTGTACTTTTAGAAAATACTTGTTCTGTTTAAGTATCTCTAGATAGCCTCCCGTTCTCCCTGCTTTTCTCCCTAAGATTGTGCCCACATATTTGAGGAAGAGGCCTTACATGACCATGTGGTATTGAACAAATGGAGCTCACAGGTCTCATTCTGTTACTCAGTGAATGCTTGTTATTGTCCACTGAGGTATGGAAAAACTGCCCAGATGGTTCTCATAAATTTTGTCTCACCCATTTGGTTGGAGTAATTCATAGACTGTCCTCTCTCAGTCTGGGCAGTGATTTCTCACTAACTTGGTGTCACCTTGGTTCTTGATGGCAGAGAAAATCTACTGAGTTTTTTGAATGTCCTCCATCTGCCGGTTGGCTTGGGAAGCCAACACTACAGCCTCTGCTTCAGGGCCATCATATCCCTTTTTACATGCAGCTCAAGTTTAACCTGCTAGCTATCAGCTCAGCTTTCTTCTTATCCCACGTTGAGGGCCAGTAGGCTCTTCTTAGTCCCATCTATGACAGAGAGAAGCAGAGGGAAAGCTTGGGCTTAGACTGAGGCCCTATCACCCTGCCCTGGTGGGTGGACCCTCTTTCACTTTTAGGAGAAAATCCCATATTGGAGCAAGGGCAACTGGAAAGGTGGCCTCCTCCCAGGTTTACAATAGGGACACAGGACATCCGCCTGCCATCTACTACTGTTGAACTTCCCTTCCTTTTGAGTCTTTAAAGTCCTAGATAGGAGCACAGCTCTGTGACCCCAACCCCTTGCTTTACTGGCTTCTATCCCTCTTTTTCTACTTTCTTCTATCTTCAGCTTCATGGATGCCAGAAATGTCTTCAGCCCACTACATAAAATTTCTAAAATTTGGTCAACCAGGTATAGCCCTCAATATGTTAAATGAGATATAAAGGATTTAACAGATCCTGCTTCCTCAAACCTAATTGTTTTGCTGTTTCCTACCCTAGAGTGATAAATATAAAGGTTGAGTCTCTATAGAGATGGCTGTGAGGGAAAAATGATTTTAAATAATTAAGATGCATTTTTTTTAATATTTGCAAAACAGTTGCCCTCTTTAGAACCTTATACATGTGATCACAAGAACAGATCTGACTCCTCTTTTTCCTTCTTTCATCTCTGTGTTTTTTATTACAATTCCTCTACCTTTCTTATTTCTTGTATCTTTGTTTTATTTATTTATTTATTTTTTAAATCTCCAGTTTGGATGGGGTCTTAGTTATACAATGCCGCTATGACAGAAATACCACAAGTGGTTGCTTTAACAAACAAATTTATTTTCTTACAGTTTAGGATGCTAGAAGTCTGAATTCAGGGCACCAGCTCTAGGGGAAGGCTTTCTCTCTCTTGCAATTCTGTAGGAAAGTCCTTGTCTCTTGCCAGTTTCTACTCCTTGGTTTCTTGGTGATCCACATGTGGCATAGCATCTGTCTTCCTCCATCTGTGCTTCCTTGCTTCTGTGCCTAACCTGCTCTTTTTGTATCTCAAAAGTGATTGGTTTAAGACATACCCTACACTGATATGGTCTCATTAATATAACAAAGGAAAGCCTATTCCCAGGTGGGATTACATCCACAAGTATACAAAAAAACAAAAACAAAAACAAAAAAACCCACCAAACCCGTTGCCATCAAGTTGATTCTGACTCATAGCAACCCTATAGGACAGAGTAGAACTTCCCCATAGGGTTTCCAAGGAGCAGCTGGCCGACCTTTTGCTTAGCAGCCAAATGCTTAACCACTGCAACACCAAGGCCCCATATATCCACAAGTATAAAAATCCAAAAAACCAAACCTATTGCCATTGAGTTGATTCCAACTCAGAGTGACCATAGAACTCTATAGGACAGAGTGGAACTGCCTCATAGGGCTTCCAAGACTGTAAACTTTATGGGAACGAACTGCCACAACCTTCTCCTTCAGAGCAGCTGGTAGATTTGAACTACTGACCTTTCGATTATTGGTTGAGTGCTTAACCACTTCACACAGGGCTCCTTCCACAAGTATAGGGGTTAAGATTTATAACATATATTTTTTGGGGACACAATTCAGTTCATAATATGTGGGAACTATATTATTTGACGCTGCAGCAGAAGTAGGCTATTAATAAAACACAATTATAACTAAAGCCATTCTCTTTAACATCATGTCCTGTACCCACTATTCACCACAGGAACGCTGTTTATCTTCGCATCAAGATGCTCTTTGGTTTGCCTATCAGTTTTGAGTAGCCAGCACTGTACTGCAGGCTTCTAAGGTTGAACCTGCAACATTTTGCCCCTTCGTAGTGTAATGTTTCTAATTTTTGCATGTATGTTAGTCTTGTCTTCTTAATTAGCCCTAATCTTCCTGTGTGATTTTATGTTGTCTTTTTTAGTGGGAAGTGAAAAAATATTAACAGCTAACTGTTATTACAGTGGTCAGTGAGAAATAACTGAATATATTTATAAATCATCTCTCTTCCTCAGGGAAGAAGAAGAGAACCAAGTGTATTTTTTGAATATTATGAGCATTTGATTTGTAGCTCTTCTGAGTGAGACAAAATATATGAGAACTGATATGGGTAGCAACCATGCTTATAAGCTATCTCTTTCAAATATGTTTGTAGTATGTAAAAACCACAATCTATAGTAGTGCATGGTTGCCAAACCAAAAAATTTCCAGATACAGAAAAGGAACAGTTTTACCTAACCATAACCCTAGGTAAATGCTATATTTACAGCTAGAAATGCAGTGGTTTTCTAGAGCTTTGCCAACAATGTACCTGATTCCTTCTTAAGTATGTGCTTTGGTAACAAATGTCAAATTGGAAATTTGTTCTCAAGTGCAGCAAAGGTAGAATGAAAATTAATAAAATCACACAAGAGCTTGTCACATAATCCTTGTGTGTATTTGGCTTGATTTTCTCTAAAACTGTATTTGCAGGTAGTGAACTAGTATTGAAGGCATGGTATTCTAAAAGTGGGGCTACAGTATTTTTACTCAAATAACGGGAGTCTTCTACATTTGTTTGCCAAACACTCCCTCCCCCCATAAGGTATTTCATAAGTGCTCTGTACTAATTTTTTTTTTTTTTTACAACAACATGTGAAAAAATTGGCATAGCAGTTCTTACAAAAATACCTCTAGATGGGAGGGAGCCAAGCAAATGTAGAAGGCACACATTATTTGTGTAAAAATATGGTATGTTAATGAGTCTTTGTAGGCATTTTACTTCAATCTTTTCCTCCCCTTAAATTACCCATGTACCCCCACACCTACATACAGATTTGACATTAAGTTCATTAATTACTCACAATTAATGTGCTTAGTTGTTATTTTTCTAAGATTCATCCATATTGTCTTACTTAGGTCCCCTTTTCAAGAACAGAATTAATAACATAATTGGTCAGGATTAGGGGTTGAGTCTTTGGTCAAGAAATATAATGAAGTTAACAGAGCCTTTGCGTATGCATGGAAGTCTGCTACAGGTAGTAACACACTATTAGGATTTGTCATAAGTTCTTCAGAGAAAGTGGTGCAATAAATATGTGTTCTGGACTTATCAGAAAAGACATCTATGTTTAATGGTAAAAATGTAAATTAGGAAGTGTTATCTTACTTCAAAGCATAATTTTCTAATTGATGGCTTTGATCTAATTGCTGATGCAGTGACACTGTACCCCAGAAAATATTCTTGGCTGTATTCTTAGAATCCAATATATATTTATCTGCAACTTTATTGTAGTATTTCTAAAGATTCAAGATCCTTTCTGGATTTAAATTTTTCAAGATGGTCTTTAAAAACTACACAGAATTATAAATAAAGCAGCTTGGTTAAGGACAACAAAGGAGGCTGTTGATTTGTGAAGACTGAGACCATATCAGTATTCCAAACCAAACTTGATTGCTGCTATCTTATTAAACAGCATTGGGTAGACATTTAAAGATTTTTATACATTTTAGTTCGGCTGGTAATTTGATTTAAAATAACATTGATTTTTTTTCTTTCCTAACTCATTCTCAGTCATGTATATCATGCTAAATATCAAAATGAGTTTGTAACTATTTGAGGCTATCTCTATAACAGGGTATTAAATTCTTGGAGAGGCTTTCTTTTCCCATGCTAATTTTCATCAGTTTGCTGTTACTTGCATTTCCCTTTGTGCTTTCTGGAATTATTATTCATTCTTTTCACCACATACCCCAATCATGAACCAATTAAACTTTTATCAGGCAGAGTAGCAAGAGACTCCCTGGGTAATAATGTGGTTGGAAACTCCCTGGTACAACCTGTTGGCTCATCTTGGAAGAAGGGTGTCATGCCAAATTATTTTTATGTGCTCATGAATAATGTTCTAACAAGGGTGGATGGAGAAATGAGCACAAAGGGCAGTTCTAATGGAAAAAATGATAGTAATATTCACCTTGGTAAAACACGCTAATTCTTTGACAAGATGCTATCTGCTCTTGCTGCTAAATTAGGTGCATATTAAGTTAGCAGCCCCTAACTTAATGCTAGCAGCTATCTTACAGGACGAACTAGAAGAAGAGAAAGACTATACCTTTTAGGATTTGGATTTCCCTCATATGGTTTTATAATAAGTGAGTAGGGAATACCTATTTAGCCCAGAGTTTATGGTACATTAATTGGGGGGATTGGTCCAGGAAGTATGAGGAGTAGGGTAGGCAGGAAGAAAGCACATATGAAGGTAATAGTAATTTTTAGCTCTATACTGAGCTCTGAAGTTAACTGAGATTTTCACTGTTGATGTTTCCTAAGGGCAGAATTTCAGAGTGGGATATCAGGTCTTTAGTGTGAAGATACGTCTACGCCAAACCAGGAATCATTGACAGTTACATTTGGACAACAAAATTTAGCAAGTTAAACTGTGAAGGTTGATCATGGAAATCAAAGAGGAAGGAACATCAGAAGAAGGCCAACACTTTCTTCCCACAGCCCAGGCAAATGATACTGGGGACTTCCAGTTCACAAGTAAGTGTATGTATGTGTTCCTTCCGGTAGCTCTCTGAAGACACACATGTATGTGTATTCTAACAAATAGGATGAAGTTAACCAACTGAACTGTTTTCGTTTGCACTATTTATTTTGGTTGTGGGTATCTGTGATATGCCTCTCATCTTGTATCTTGGGTGAGATAGATTGTCCATCAAGTGGTTAAATATCAAATAGTAGATTCCAAGTCCTTGAATATGTATTAAGACATTAATAAATACTTTTTAAGTATACCCTAGTTAGCATTTATAAAATCTTATATGGAATAATTTATTGTATATTTTATTTTTTAAAACTGAAAGTCATTTAAGTTGAAGGCATTAGGGAATATGGTTACTTTAGAAACCTAGACTGTCCCTACCATACCAGAGAGCCCTCAGTCACATAAACAAAGTAACCTTGGCGATTTGGCCAGGGTTTGCATTTGAACATTAAAATCAATTTTTGTGCTACTCAAATAATTAAAGTCATTGGAAGTATTCTGTGTTTTCTCTCATACTTAAAATTGCAGCATTTGGGTTTTAGTGTTCAGTATGAATTGTGTCTTTTTTGCTTCTTTTCAGAAGATTTCTGTTGGCCAATTATTTGACATTGGCAAACATATGCCTAACCTTCTCATTTAATTTACGGATTAAATAATCTTTAGAAAACGGTATTGGTTGGAAGCATTTTTGAGAAATTTGGTTGTCAGAGCTTACAGCAGAGTTAATTGTTAATAACCTTTTTAAAAATCAGACTATTTGAAGTTCACAAAAACCTACCTAATGAATGTCACTCTAACCTCTCTTGGAAAGTCTAAAATTGTTAACCACAGCATTATTAAATGTCAGCAAAGGAGGGAGGGTATTATGTGAAAAAAAGTTTTAACTCCGTAAATGAAAAAAAAGGATCATTTTTATACAACAAGGTTGTTCAAACAATGTATTAATGATTAAATGCTAGTTAAATTTAAATGGTATCTTATAAAGTCACCAGCAAAAGAAGCAACAAGAAATGGAGTTTTAGAATCTTCTTACATTTATTGCCAAATGGTTTACTTTTTCATAAATTTTAGTTTTGCTTTTTTTGACCACCCATGTGTTGTAACAAATGGTATCCCATCCATATATCCAGGCCTCGTTCACTCTTGTTTGGGTGTGGTCTTCAGGCATCCCCTGCCACATTATTTCTTGCCTCAACTTGATCTTTCTGCCTTCTGACTTATAGCAATCCCACGTATGTCAGAGGAGAGCTGTCCTCCATAGAGGACATTGTAACATGCTGATTTTTTGAAAGTAGATCACCAGGCCTTTCTTCTGAGATGCCTGTGGGTATACTCTAACCTCTAACTTTTTGATTAGCAGCCAAGCATGTTAACTCTTTGCACCATCCAGGGACTCTTCCTATTAGATGTTCCCGTCTCCTTACCTTTATTCTCAGACTCATTTTTCCTTCCACCTCATCTTAATTCATTTAGTCATGTAGTTAAGATTAAAGAACAAAAAATTACTGACTAAAGGAATGGAAACATTTAAAACAGAATGTAAGTTTGAACTATAAGTAAATTGGCAGAATAACCGTCACCATAATGCCAACCATAACATCCATTTCATAACAGTGACTATTAACTGCAGGTCAGTGAGATTTGAAAGATCCATGTAAAAAATAATTTGATGAGGTGCTTCATTTTGAAGTTTCCACCTCTATCTACATACATGGAAAAGAAACAGACACAGTAGAAAAATGTTCTATCATATTCATAATGGCATACAAAAACAATATTTTGACTTTCTTTATGACTACAGAGCTAAATAGATCAATCAAAACTTTAGTCACATCGAATCCTGCTACAAATTATGCCCTGTTCTCAGAACTGACTGCTTACAAGCCTGATTTACCAAGTTTATTTGTTCTGCCAAATAATATATTTATTACATCTAGTCAGGATGAAATATAATTCTATATATTGAAATATTCTTGATACTGAGTTAAATATTTTTTATCTGAATTTTCATCTGTTATTTATAGGTATTCAGAAGACTCCAGATGAACCACAGCTGGAATTCATCCTTGGTAAGGAATTCCATCTTTTTAATATCAACAATAATAAAATAATACGTATAGTAGTTTGCAACTTATAGGTACATTACCTGTATCATTACATATTTTACAAACTTTTTCAAAGGTTGTTCTATAAAAAATTTTATTCTATGAGGTAGATATCATTTTCCCCAATTTATAAGGAAAGAATGTGGGCTGCTGAATAGGTCGCTTAGCTGTCCAAGAATACAGAGATCAGTGGTGATAGGACTGTATCTCTCAACCAGGTTTGCTGATACAAACCAGGTGCCCAACACTCATTCTAATATAGTGACTGCATTATGTTGCTAATCAATGTTTCTGGAAATCCATTTGTTTAATTACCTACTCCTTGGGCTGGAGGCTGGCCACATGTAGTTTTCCTGTGAGTTCCTTTTGGCATATACAAGATTCTTGCTCCTTTCCACCTCAATTGCTCAAAAACTCCTCTTACTCTTTTATCTTGATTTTTTTTTTTTTTGAACAGATCCTTAGTATTCAAGAATTTAACTTTAATTTAAAGGTTTGACTTGCTTAAGCAACTCTAAAGTTCTGTCAATTGTAGAAATGTATAACCTTGTTCAAGGATGAATTCAAAATAGGCCCTCCGAGGCTGGGCCACTGCTTAGCTAATGAGTGGTCCCTGCTTTGTTTTTGAATCAAGTATGACTAAAAAAAAAAAAAAAAAAGACCGTTTGGAAATTAACTGCAAAGAAGCATTTAAACAAGATGAAAATATGTTTCATAAGAACTATCTAAAGAAGTTTCTTGTTTTTCTCCCATGGTTCTGGAATCTTTAGAAAGATGAGCATTATTTTTCCATCTTACTTCTCATTAAATTTTAGACAATAACACATGCATATATTCAATTTCATATACAGAGATCACATACATTTTGACATTCAAATCTTTACATGAAAATATACATACTTTCCTAAATTTTGAGAGCAAACTGAAATATATACATTCACTATCTTTATAGTTTGTAGTGGTTTGAAGTCTCAAATATTTTTGAAACATACAGATTTATTACATAATAAATTAGGCTTAACATTTCCCATTGCTCAAAATATTGTTTAAAATATTCCATTTGAAGCATAATTTATTGAGACAAAATTGTATATATAATTTTTTTAAACATTAGTTTTTTTTTATAGTTGTATCTAAAAGTTAATGTTATTTGAGAACAAAATATTCCATTTTGAAGCATAATTTGAGACAAAATTGTATATATAATTTATTTTTAAACATTAGTGTTTTTTTATAGTTGTATCTAAAAGTTGCTGTTATTTGAGAATTCTAGATTTTTTTGTTTTCCCAGGTATTTAGAAGCAGATAAGAATTTGAAAACTTAAACTTTTGGAGTAACACCAATAAAACTATTTTTTTCCCTAGAGGTTTCTCAAATGGTATTACATATAAAAAGAACTCATGTTCAGAACGGGAACTGAGGAACAAAAGGAAGCCTAGCCCACTCACCCTCCTGCCCCATGACTCATTGACTACAACTCTTGCTACTTGAACTTTATCAGTCTTTCATTTTCAACAGAAAACAGAAAAATTTTACCTTTTCAATAGAACTTCCGAGAAGGGAAAATTTGTTAGGTTGTTTCAGTGTATTTCAAAACACAGATAAAGCAAAAAACTAAACCCGTTGCCATCAAGTCGATTCTGACTCATGGTGACTTCATATGTTACAGAGTAGAACTGTGCATAGGGTTTTCTTGGCTGTAATCTTTATGGAAGCAGAATGTCAGGCCTTTCTTCCACACTGCTGGGTGGGTTCAAACTGCCAACCTTTAGGTTAGCAGTGGAGTGCAAAACAGTTTGTGCCTCCCAGGGAACTTCAAGACACAGATAAAGCCTTCTTATTTGCATGTTGGAGAAGAGGGAGTATCTGAAGGAGGCAAAAGCAATTAGAGTTGGAGGCTGTTAGGTAAACATGGTGGCCACCTTGGAAAGACAACATGCCTAGGCCAAATGCCTGTCTTCTGTTTCAATTAAAATTATGTCTTCTTTAAAGTCCTAATAATTCTATTGTTTCAAAAGCCTAGTCAACTTCAGTAACAATGCTGTCGTCACTTAAATTTCTGGCTTTGAATCACAGATCTAAGAGATTAACATCTGTGAGAATTTATTCAAGATAGTATTTCTTCACTTGGAAAAAAATCTTTCAATTAATTTTCTTTATGTGTTCATAAAATATGCTAGAATTCTTTTTTTTTTAACAAAAAATTTATACATATATTGTTATGCAACACTAGTTGTAATCCCCGTAATGTGACAGTCCGGGTTTCCCGTGTCCATCCAACCAGCTCCTGTCCCTTTCTACCTTCTCATCCTGCCTCCGGACAGGAGCTGCCCATTTGCTTTCGTGCATCTGCTTGAACTAAGAAGCACACTCTTCACAAGTATTATTTTATGTTTTATAGTCCAGTCTAATCTTTGTCTGAAGAGTGGGCTGCGAGAATGGTTTTAGTTCTGGGTTGACAGAGCATCCGGGGGCCGTGGCTTCGAGAGTTCCTCCAGTTGCAGTCAGATCATTAAGTCTGGTCTGAAGTGAATTTGAGTTCTGTACCACACTTTTCTCCTGCTCCGTCAGGGACTCTCTGTTGTGTTCTCTGTCAGGACAGTCATTGGTGGTTTACTAGGATTCTTAACAACAATAGTTTTATCCTATGAGATAGTAAACAATGGCTGACGAGTGAACAAAAGTTCACTGGAGAAAGTTACTTAGCATCATTAGTTTATTATTGTGTTGTTGATCCTAGGAGACACAGTCCCCAAACTCTGTATTTGTTATGCTTCTTCACACTTTAAAAGATCCTCAATTACATTGTTTTCTGAAGAATAGTTTTTAAAGTACTCTTTTAAAGACATTATGTCTAAATCCTTGCTGGTTTCACTGTACATTTTTGTCACTTTTCTTGAATTTTTTTAAAAGCAATGGCTACGACAATGGCTCAAGCATAACAATGATTGTGAGGATGGTACAGGACTGGGTAGTGTTTTGTTCTGTAGTATATACATTGCTATGAGTTGGAACGGACTCCAAGGCACCTAACAACAAACACAACATTATATGAGTGATGTCTGTTCATTTTATAAAGAATAATGAGAGAATAATATCTTTCTAAATATTTTTATTAGTTTAAAAATATGCATATTTATTTAGTCAGAAAAAAAGCAAAGTGTCTTAAAACAAAAGCAAATTATAGGAAAAAAATAGACTAAACAAGGTGGGGGAGTTTTTTCTACCCAGGACTAAATTTTTGATATTTGGTTCTCTATTCTTTGCGAAAGTGTTCAAATAAATTGAGAATTTCAATGGTTCTACTTTTTAAATTGGGATAACAGCTACACTAATCATCTTGATAGGTGTTATATTGCTTTGTGGAGCCCTCGTGGTGCACTGGTTAAGTCTTCAGTGGCTAACCAAAAGGTAGGCAGTTCAAATCCACCAGCCGCTCCTTGGAAACCCTGTGGGGCAGTTCTACTCTGTCCTGTAGGGTGGCTGTGAGTCGAAATTGACTCAACGGCAACAGGTAGTTTTTTTTTTTTTTTTTTTTTTGTAATATTGCTTTGTAAAAGTTATTTTCCATCTAGGATTTTTTCTCCCTGTCTGTGTGCTGCTATAAAATCATTATATCTTGCTGAAGTTCCTCTGCTACGTCTTTGTTCAAGTAAATGAGATGGGAGATCCTTAGTCAATTGAGCAAGCTAATTGGCTACAAATGCCTTGATAGCATAATATAAACATGTACTGAAACAGTGACTGTCTCATGTCCATTGTTAACTATATTTTTAATGCCTGACTGCATTTAAATTAAATAATTCACCCTTACAACTGTGACTGTGCTTCCACACTCCTTTCATTAATTCACTTGAGTCTATTGATACCCTTTCTGTTTCCACACACACACACACACACACACACACACACACAAAACCCAAACCTGTGGCTGTCTAGTTGATTCTGAAAACTAATAATTAATGAAAAACCTAAGAGAACCCTGATTTTGTTTGTGGTTTAAGAAAATTGTTTTCATTTCAAAGAAGCTGACATTTCTTAAAATCTGAGTAAGTTTATTTCTTAAAACCAACGTGAAAAATGTTTGTAGAAGACTAATCTTGACTAAGATATAAATGAACTATTTATCTATTTTTTTAAAATTTATCCTCCCAGATTATGCTAATAATGGTAATCTAACATGCCTCCATTTACCATTTCTAGAATCAATAGAATACTTATGAGAATATGTTTGTCATACTTTTTTATATGGACACCACATATATCATAAATCCAAAATAATACATACTGGTACATATTAAATATGTAGGAGAGAATGACAGGTACGTGTTTGTATGTGTTCTTGTGCTCTTTACTTGACATCTTGAAGTCATGTTCATGAAATTAATTTGTACTTTGATGACTGATACTCAATGGAATTCAAATGACCAGACACATAGGGTACATTGAAAGACACTTTTGTACATATCAACAAGTCTCAGGATAGATTACTATTGGAATGTGGGGACATAGAAGCTGAAGTGTAATCCATAACATCTAATGTATTCATCCAAATTTCATTAGGAGAGGCACAGAAAAATAAATAAAAAATTTCAGATAGTGTTAAGTTCTATGTAGATAGTAGAACAGGGAAATGGGATGGAACAAGGCAGAGGTTTGGGGAGCAGAGGAAATATTATAGATATGGTGGTGAAAGAGGGCATCTAGGTGCCAAATTGGCTTATGCCGAGTATGGATACTGAATAGGAAAGTGTCCGTGCTGAACCTAAGACCCAGGTAACTTTCTAAGCAGGAGGGGACTAGCTATAGTAGGTAATTAAGAAGTACATAATAGAGTTCTGGTAATGGAAATATTGAGGCTCAGGGGTAGTAAATCAGGTGACTAGTTTGACTAGGCATGATATCAAGTTACAAGCTGATCTGGTCTTGAGGTAAAAAGGGCCTCAGGGGAAATGGCAACACTGTGAAGGACCATTTACCGGACTATTGGAATGCCAAGGTCAGAGCAGGATGAACTGTAGGACAGAATAGATGCTGAGCTAGACAGATGTTCCCATGGCCTCTTCTATTCTTCACTCATGCTAACCTTTACCTAAACCCCCAGCTCTCTGGGTAATGAGGTCAGATGACTGGGTGCTACTGAGCCTTACAAGAGTAAGACATAGGGAAACATGAGAATGAGAGCCAACTGACCATTAGATCCTTTGCCTTTCATGGAGCTGTTTTATCTGTAAAAAACAGTGTGTCACCTTAGAATGATGTTTTTACAGGAAGTTTTTCCTCTAGAATTTAAGATGTATTAATTCCTCCCCTGTGTTGTTGTTGTTGTTGTTAGGTGCCGTCCAGTTGGTTCCGACTCATAGCGACCGTATGTACTACAGAATAAAACACTGCCGGGTCCTGCACCATCCTCGCAATCATTGTATGTTTGAGCCCATTGTTGCAGCCACTGTGGCAATCAATCTCGTTAAGGGTCTTCCTCTTTTTTGCTGACCCTCTCTTTTACCAAGTGTGATGGATTGAATTGTGTATCCCAAAAATATGTGTCAACTTGGCTAGGCCATGATTCTCAGTATTGTGTGATTATCCACCATTTTGTCCTCTGATGTGATTTTCCTATGTGTTGTAAATCCTACCTCTATGATGTTAATGAGGCAGGATTAGAAGCAGTTATGTTAATAAGGCAGGACTCATTCTACAAGATTAGGTTGTATCTTGAGTTAATCTCTTTTGAGATACAAAAGAGAGAATTCAGCAAAAAGACAGAGGGACTTCATTGCCACCAAGAAAGAAGTGCCAGGAACAGCACACCCTTTGTACATCTCAACAGTGCTGAGATGCTCCTACACCAGGGGAAGATTGATGACAAGGACCTTCCCCCAGAGCTGACAAAGAGAGAAAGCCTTCCCCTGGAACAGGCACCCTGAATTTGGACTTCTAGCCTCCTAGACTATGAGAGAATAAATTTCTCTTTGTTAAAGCCATCCACTTGTGGTATTTCTGTTATAGCAGCACTAGATAACTAAGACACCAAGCATGATGTCCTTCTCTAGGGACTGGTCCCTCCTAATAACATGTCAAAAGTATGTGAGACGAAGTCTCGCCATCCTTGCTTCTAATGAGCATTCTGGCTGTACTTCTTCCAAGACAGATTTGTTCATTCTTCTGGCAGTCCAAGATATATTCAATATTCTTTGTCAACAATTGATTCAAAGGCATCAATTCTTCTATGGTCTTCCTTATTTATTGTCCAGCTTTCACATGCGTATGAGGTGATTGAAAACACCATGGCTTGAGTCAGCAGCACCTTAGTCCTCAAAGTGACATCTTTGCTTTTTAACACCTTAAAGAGATCTTTTGCAACAAATTTGCCCAATGCAATACATCATTCGATATCTTGACTGCTGCTTCCATGGGCAGTGATTGTGAATCCAAGTAAAATTAAATCCTTGACAACTTCAAAATTTTCTCCGTTTATCATGCTGTTGTTTATTGGTCCAGTTGTGAGGATTTTTGTTTTCTTTATGTTGAGGTGTAATCCATACTGAAGGCTGTGGTCTTTGATCTTCATCAGTAAGTGCTTCAAGTCCTCTTCATCTTCAGCAAGCAAGGTTGTATCATTTGCATATCATAGTTTCTTAATGAGTAGTCCTCAAATCCAGATGCCCCTTTCTTCTTCATATAGTCAAATTTCTCAGGTTAATTGCTCAGCATACAGATTGAATAAGTATGGTGAAAGGATACAACCCTGACGCACACCTTTTCTGACATTAAACCATGCAGTATTCCCTTGTTCTGTTCAAACGACTGCCTCTCGGTCTATGTACAAGTTCCTCATGAGTACAGTTAAGTATTGTGGAATTCCTGTTCTTTGCAATGTTATCCACAATTGGTTATGATCCACACAGTTGAATGCCTTTGCATAGTCAATAAAACATAGGTAAAAATCTTTCTGGTATTCTCTGCTTTCTGGCAAGATCCATTTGACATCAGCAATGATATCTCTTGTTCCACGTTCTCTTCTGAAACCTGCTTCAATTTCTGGCAGTTCCCTGTCGATGTACGGCTGCAACTGCTTTTGCAATGATTTTCAGCATAATTTTATTATGTGTGATATTAATGATACTGTTCATTTCTGTATTCTGTTGGATCACCTTTCTTTGGAATGAGCACAAATATGGATCTCTTCTAGTCAGCTGGCCAGGCAGCTGTCTTCTAAATTTCTTGGCATAGACAAGTGAGCACCTCCAGCGCTGCATCCGTTTGTTAAAACATGTCAATTGGTATTCTGTCAATTCCTGAAGCCTTGTTTTTCACTAATGCCTGCAGTGCAGCTTGGACTTCTTCCTTCAATACCATCAGTTCTTCATCATATGCTACCTCCTGAAATGGTTGAACTTTGACCAATTCTTTTTGGTACAGTGACTGGGTATTCCTTCCATCTTCTTTTGATATTTCCTGCATCATTCAATATTTTCCTCGTAGAATCCTTCTATTGCAACTAGAGGCTTGAATTTTTTCTTCCGTTCTTTCAGCTTGAGAAATGCTGAGTGTGTTCTTCTCTTTTGGTTTTCTAACTTCAGGTCTTAGCACATTTCATTACAATTCTTTACTTTGTCTTGTCTAGCCGCCCTTTGACATTTTCCATTCAGCTCTTTTACTTCATCATTTCTTCCATTCGCTTTACCTACTTTACGTTTAAAAGCAAGTTTCAGAGTCTCTTCTGACATCCATTTTAGTCTTTTTTTTCTTTCCTGTCTTTTTAATAACTTTTTGCTTTCCTCATGTGTGACCTCCTTGATGTCATCCCTCAACTTGTCTCGTCTTTGGTCATTGTTGTTCAATACATCAAGTCTATTCTTTAGATGGCCTCTAAACTCAGGTGGGATATACTCAAGGTCATACGTTAGCTCTCGTAGTCTTGTTTTAATTTTCTTCAGCTTCAACTTGAACTTGTGTATGAGCAATAGATGGTCTATTCCACAGTCAGCCCCTGGCCTTGTTTGACAGATGATTTTAAGCTTCTGCCTTGTCTCTTTCCACAGATGTAGTCAGTTTGATTCCTGTGTATTCCATCTGGCAAAGTCTACGTGTATGGTCACCGTTTATGTTATTGAAAAAAGTATTTGCAGTGAAGAAGTCGTTGGTCTTGAAAAATTCTATCATTTGATCTCCAGCTTCATTTCTATCACCATGGCCATATTTTCCAACTACTGATCCTTCTTCTTTGTTTCCAGCTTTCACATTCCAATCATCAGTAATTATCAATTCATCTTGATTGCATGTTTGATCAATTTAAGACTGCAGGAGTTGGTAAAAAAATCTTCAATTTCTTCATCTTTGGCCTTAGTGGTTGGTGCATAAATTTGAATAATAGTCTATTAACTGGTCTTTCTTGTAGGCATATGGATATTATCCTATCACTGATAGATCTTGAAATGTTCCTTTTGACAATGAATGTGATGCCATTCCTCTTCAATTTATCATTCTGGCATAGTAGACCATATGATTGTCTGGTTCAGAAAGACTGATACCAGTCCATAATCAAACCTACCTCTCCTATAGGTTTTATTATTTATAAAATAGGAAATCCTGAAGCCCAAATTATTTAACAGAGCCTACTTTGTTCTTCAGTTTTTTTCTAAAATTGATTAATTCACGTTAACAGCTATAATTTTCATATTATATAGTGAAAATTATCACAGAAAAAAAAATCAGTGATAGGCAATATAGAAATACATCACAGTTTTCTCTGGAGTATGATCATATAATGTCATCCCTACCCAGTACATATCCAAGGCTGTCAAGTCAATTCTGATGAATGACGATCCCATGTCAAGAGTAGAACTGAGCTCCATAGGTTGTTTCTTTTTTGGCTGTAATCTTTACGGAAACAGATCACCAAGCCTTTCGTCCACAGTACCTCTCAGTTGGTTTGAACTGCCAACATTTTTATTAGTAGTCAAGCACAAAACATTTGTTCCACCCATATCATCATACATTATCATATATAAATGAACTCTCTTTGTTTCTGGTTTACCTTCTTCTTTTCTTTTTTTTTTTACCTTTTCACTTCTTAACCTTTCTCTTAATACCTCAAATTCAGCTAAGGGTGAGTGAAGGAAAGTTCAGACCACTATAATTCATCCTTTACTCAAGTCAATCAGCATTTTGTTATTGTTTAATTTTTATGTATTCTTAAGATAGAATAGTTTGTAGTCGTTAAAAATCATCTTTTGAAAGAATATTTCATCAAGCAAGGGGAGACAAGGTTTTAAAAGCAGGATAACAAACTGCATGCAAAATATGACCTTTCTTTAACTATATGTGCCTGTGTGTGCAAAAAAATAAGATTGTAAGAATAGGTATGACAGACTTTAATCATAGTCATCAACAGTTAGTGAATTTTTTTCTTTGCTTTAGTTTTCTGTGTCTTCCAAAATCTCTGCAATGTGCCCACGTTTAGTTTATAATTTGGTGTTTTGTTATTAAATAAGTAACCCCACAGTAAGCTAAATCTGCTAAAGGAGCTGAAGAAGTCTTTATGTCTGAAGACGTAAAATTTGGCTCCTTGCCTTCAATTCACTCATAGTATAATTTGAGAAGTAGAACTAAGACTCCTGAAATAGACCATAGAAAGCTAAGCCATTTCTTAGAGTCTCTAAGAATATTGGGGATTCTGTAAAGGATATAAATAGTATGGGAAAGAGTAGTCAATGATTTTTCCCAAGCAAGACTGACTGAAGCTGATTTTTGAAGGAAGAAAATAGGAATAGACTATCCCTATCTAGAAAGGAGGAACCACATTCTAGGCATCCACAGACAAACACTTGGCACTTGGAACAAGATGAAGACCCCAAATTCAGAACACAAAAAAAGATATGCAATAAGGACTTATTAACTATTATACCAAGGTAAATATACAAAGGCCAGTCATCTTGTCTTCCTAGAAGAGAAAATGAAAGCAGTATTCATTTCAAATATGATTCTTGATTCATTTACTTTCTGGTCCTTTGGAATAGAGGTATTTATAGACAAATCAAGGACTTAGAGTACTTTATCGAAAATGAACTTCACATTCACTCTGAAAGCAGTGTCAGTTTTGCCATACATATTGCAACTAAATAGACAAAGCAAAATGACCCACTTGTAGAAACTGTTTTCTTTATGGAAACGTAGGATTAAAAAAAAAAAAAAAGGCTTGTGGATATGGCATAGATTGAATTGTGTCCCCCCAAAATGTGTATCAATTTGGCTAGGCCATGATTCTCAGCATTGTGCAATTGTCTACCATTTTGTCATCTGATGTGATTTTTCTATGTGTTGTAAATCCTATCACTATGATGTTAACGAGATGGATTAGCAGCA